CCAAACAAGCACATCATAAATCATACAATTAAAGTAACAAATACAAAATCTATTACATCATAAGTAGTTTAGTTTCATTGTGAATACACATTATTCTAACATTAGCAAATAATTATTATCTGATAAATGTTGTGTCRTTGTTGTTTTATCAACTGGGATCAGACTGAAGTAGGGAGTCAAAAAAAAAGCACACGAATTTAAAACATTCAAAGTTAAACTTCATATAATGGAATAATTACAATGATATAAGAGGGACAAGTACATGTTCCTAGATTTYGTAGCTTATCCTACTTTTAGATTATCATATTCAAGATATCAGAAGTATAAAAYATTGTGTAATATTTTATCTGTGGAGGAACATATTCCCATATTATCAAAGCAACATTTTATATGTAATATGAACATTAAAAAATACTGCCATATGCTTCAGGAGTGTTAAAATCTTAAAATTGAAACACTTTTGAACCCAGGTTTTAGTCATCACTTTCAACTTGAAAATAAAACTCAAAAGTAAAAATTATCATTACAGTTTTTGTCCAATAATATTTAGAAATTTATTATTTAGGCTGTTTGGAAAAGCTAAGCTTATTCAACGATATGGAGTTCTTACCTTAGCATTGCCACGTATGCATTAAAAACAGAATTACTTTGTAACATCGCCATGTCTTATATATGAAACAAACTTCAGAAAATACTGCAGACGTCAGTGGCAAGAATAAGCAGTGCTTTGAAGTCTGMATGTCATTAAGCTGTAACACTATGCTAATGAGATGGAAACCAGAATTGCTTTTAAACTATTGGTTATTATGGTGTAAGTACAATGTATGTGTATATAAAATTACAATGGAATGTCATACAGAAAAACAACTATTTTAGAATTTGGTTTTTAGTTATGTAAAGATGTCCGCCATGCTGTAAATTACTTTATTGAAGGTACAATGTGATCAAACCACAGGTCCAACCACATCTGCATGCATTGTAGATAACATTGAGGGATTAATTATGAATTGTTTCAAAATACTCAACAGAAAGGTATTTATTCAGGGTAGAACTATTTGTGTCTAGATGTTTTAAGATTACTTGGATTTGAAGTCATTAGAAATGGACTTAAAAACAATAATATCAAACGAGACCACTTTTGTTAATGATGATGAYTTTTTTTCTAAAACACTCAGGGATAACAGATGGTATTTTCTATCCAAGTGAAATATAAAAACACTAATTCTCAGACTTAAGTATTTAAATTCTTTAAGTCTTGTTTTACAGCTCATTTTTACKTCTCAGTTTGAAACTCAAATTATTATGTAAATCACTGATCACAAAAACTCTAGTTTTGAACCTAGAAATTATTTAGTAAATGTCTACATCTTGGAAGGTGTTGTAAGTCTTAATTCTCAAAAATGTTATTCTCACTGTGTAAGGAAAKCTCTAAAGGAACATTGCAATATTGCTTTATTTTATACTAACATACTGATGGCAAAAATGTCTTATTCATTGTATGAATAATAATTGATAATATYTAATAACATCAATAGATATAAATAATAATTCTAATGATCAGCCTGAAAGCAATAAAAAACTTTGCATACAAGAGTGTAATAATTATAACAAATGATAAAATAACAATTTACTATAATTATTCTGTAGAAGAACAGCTATTATTCTGGATTAAAATTAAAGTATTATAATCGTATAATAATCATTAATCATGACAATAAGAAAACAACAATCAATAATATCAAAATAAGATACTTTTTATAGAACTGTAAGATCCAATACAGCTGTAATACAGTCTTCATCAAAACAAGACACRCATTTGACAGGTGACAGTATTACATTACATTTTTTATCTAAATAAACACACATTAACCTAACATCTGGCTCCCATAGCAAGAAATATTAACTCAATATGCAGAAAAAGGCTACTCATAACCCCTGCTAAGATAATGACATATATAAACACTTCAGTGCTTAATTGAGTAAAAGCAAGGATAAATTGGTAAAGACAATTGTTATATTTACATGTAATTGTATCTTTTTCGAGAGTGCTTGAAATAATTGTTTTGAGCAATAATGATCAAGATTACACTTAGCTTTGTAGTTTTGATCACTTKCATTAAGTTGTCAAATCAACACATCAACTCATGTTTAAAAACACATTTCATCTGATCATTACTCCTTGTTAAATGTACTATCATGCTGAGTGCTAAAGAGAGATTTGACCATCCTTGTTACAGGTGATACAATTGATTGCCAATGAAAAGGTCATTACCATCTATGGATAGTTGCTGTTCATATAACAAAATGTTCTCATTGTAAAAAAACTAAAAGGTTTGAACATGTATTTCATTCTGAACAACAAGCTCTGTCTTCAATACAATACAAATAACAAGATGTGGGAACTAGCAGTAAACTTGTGTGAGCTGCGTAACTGTTTTTAGAAACAGTATGTAAAAAGATAAACTAACAAATGTAAAAAAGTAGGTGAAACTTACTGATGTTCCGGATGTTAATCCTTTGTTGGATACAAATACAAATAACAGACAAGCTTATTTTTGTGATATGCAGTATTAATACTAACTGCATTTCATAATGGACAAAAATTTGAGTTCCTTCAGTAGGTAACAGGACACAGACYATGTAAGAAACAAAACCTTAAAATGGAACAAAAACTATACAATTATGGTGCACACAGAAGAGCACAAAATTTGCCAATGCCCACCTTSTAGCTTCACTTCCATCAGGAAGGAAAAGAGTTATATTTGCTATAATACATCCATGTGTTACTGGAACAAAGCAAAATATATAAAAACTATCAGCAAACTAAGCATCAGATGTTTGCAGGGTTGGTTTAAGCATAGTTTGTAGAGAGAAATGGTTGGGAAGCCTGTTGTCYGTTTTTGKGCACTTTTTTCCAAGCRTGAAGGGGGGKAACCTCTAACCAAGGATCAACTTGATAATGTTTATTKATAGTATGCATCTATCCCTACCTTTTTTAGAATTTTCAACTACATCCACTCCAAACTGTATAATATCACCAGAATTAAGTTGCTTTGGTTCACTTTCTTCTGAACCTTTACTAAGACGTACATTATTTACAAAGGTGCCATTGCTACTTTTGGTATCACGTAGAAAGAACTGAAAAGAAAGAAATACAATGGTCACTGAAAAATGCAGGACAATACGCTAAACATCCAAAAGAAAGACATTTAAAAAGTCACATTCATTAAATTTCCTGGAACTCCTCTGAATCCTCCTACAGGGTTCTCAGTAGAAGTCGAAAGCTGGAGAAAATTGCCAGTTATAGCTTAGTTAATTCTGTAGCTGCACATGCTTGATAAATAGAATGACTGAACCCAAACCTCCCCCACCCACAAAAACTACATACCTTAAACACCAAAAGAATTACCCTATTACCTACTCTAAAGGCTGATTTACATGACACGATTGTCTCGTGCGATTTGTAGTATACGACTTGAATCGCGCAGTGTAAATGCCCCTACTACTTGTCTACAACAGTCGTACRCAACCTACGACTTGTAGTAGGATTTTGAACCACTGCTTAAAATCCTACGACTTGTAGTAGGAAAATCGTATACTGTACTAAAAGTCATGCACGACAGTTACATTATAAGAGATACAAGTCTACAAAAATTGCACTGTTTGTAACAAAAAGTCAAGTCTAAATGTGGGTGGATGTGCTTGCTATTATTTTAAAACTGAAATACTGTCTAGACATTATTTGTGGCCACTGAAATACTGTCTAGACACCATTTGTCTAAATAGACTCTCGAAACTTGTCTGTTACTTTATAACTTCCTTCACCTTGAAACTGAAATTTTCCACGAAATGTCACACGATATTATTTTGGACAATAGGGTATTCAGTAGATATCATTCCACAAAACACACTTGATCACACAGAGAAAAGCCAAAAAAGACCCAAGATAAACCTTGATACATTGACCAGCATGGCACAAGTCTATGATAGCCAATGAGCTTACTCGTTAGAATTCAACAAGAAAACAGCCAATGAGAAGTTAAYAAATCCCAGTACACAGARCACAATCTTCGTCACTGGTTCACAGATGAACACAACAYAGTTTTGGTTTGGCTGCATGCAGGCTAACAGCATGACTGTATTTTTTAWCTGGGCATTTGCCCAAATTAATATATTGAGCTTACAGTTATATGTATGTGTATAATGGCATTTTGGACTAAAAATTATTTGATTAAGTTTAAACATAATTGCTGAGAAGGCTTGTGCCATACACTGAMGTAATGGTGTAACGATGCATCRAAATATYGAATAATTGYGATGTCAAATCTGCGATAGCAGAGCATCGATTGCAAAATAAATTATGCTATCGATAACTATTGCAATACTTAAGTTTAACTATCTATAGTTTCTTTCTAAAAAAGATTTTAAGCAAAATATAAGTTGTTAGCASTTAATTTGTAAAAAAGTGCACTTCMGAACATGTAAACAAAGTCACCATTCAAATGTGACTGTCTGGAAATACTGGTAAACTACATTGCTATATGCGGGAGCAATCCATGTATTTAGTCCCGTTCAAGAGCAAGAACGAATTTCTTTACTATTATTATTGCTGAAGTATTGATTGTGTACTCACACAATATTATCGTAATACTAACATAATAATTAGTCACCTATTGCAATAGTTTGAAAATTGATTGTAATTCTTTCGTCATAGGCAAAAACTGCTCAACAGCCACCACTACAYTGAAGGCAGTTGACRRTTATACACCTCCAATTTACACTATGAAATGCGAAACACATTATTCAAATATACATGTATTTTAGAACTTTGAGGTGTAAATGGAAAACCATGAAAATACCCAAAAAAGTCACTTTATAGGTAAGTATTTTGTATGCTTGCCAACTTAGCATCCCGTAACATCTTTTCAAGATGTGTTAATTCTTTTGGACATAAGAAATATTTTAAAATTTTTGGAAGAATCAAATGTTTCATGTCATTAGATAATTCAACAAGTTATTGTAAGCTCATATATGAAATCATGAATTATTAATTCACTTTAAGCATCAAATTGAACATATACACATTTAAATGGCATTTTTACACATTAACCAAATAGCAATTTTAAAGAGATTATATCATTTTAAGGATTTCTCTTATATTTTTGGATGGTTTCAAACATAGATTCATATTAAAAGCATGATTAAAATTGTCTAAATGAAACTGAAATCATATGGTAACAGCTGATGCAGGCAGCTTGTAATTAATTTTTTTTATATAGCTTTTGCTTCATAATGCATACATGTACACAAGAGCTGTATTCTGTAATCTCCTTTTTAGCTAATCCTTTGTAAACTGGTGGAATATTTGAGGCTCTACATAGTGAATGGCACAAACAATACAATATTTAGCATTTTCCAGATTATAAGAGAGCTAAAACCAGAAAATTCAGTAATAACTAGGACTTCACCTAGAAGATGTTTACAGAAATAYTTCAGTCATAAGAACAAGCGTTTTTGCTTCCTAGAGCCCACATATTATGTAATATGGTAAGAAAATAAAATAAAAACTATGATAATTACATTGTACGTTCAAAGTAAACAAAATGCCAAAAAAAATWTAATGTGTCCGAAAATAATTATGGATCAAAAATTGYAATTTTATCAATAAACTATAATCCTCGAGGAACAATAATTATGGTTTTACATCGCTGGTCAAYCCACTTGAATCATATCAATCAAATCTTGCATCTTTTCATGATCAATTCAACGTAAACAATGCAAAGCAAGTGAACTCAAATGCTTTCTAAATGCTAAAAGATAATACAAAGTTCATGACACTTAACGATATCGTGGATTCATCCGCATTACTATAATAGTGACGATATTGACTCCCAGAAATTCTTGTGTATAAAGAGCTTCTAYTAAACTAAAAATAACGCTGTACATGTACCTAGTCGCCATTTAAAATCGACATTGATCTCCATCAAAAATAATACCTCATTTCCAATTTTCAAGGATTTTGCAAGCTGAAACAGTASAACAGTTAAGTAAAGAACTAAAAAATATTCCAGGCCTAAAATGTTTTGAATAATYATTCAGAGGTACTTAAAATAGAGCAAAGATCAACGGCCCACAGAGAGAGACAACCTTAGTTTCGCAGGCCTCTACAAATGTGTTTGGGATGTCAAACAGTTTTGGTGTGTTCCGGGACAAATTATCAGAGTGCAAACCCACTCAAAACGTTTATACAGAGACGTGATAAAAATCAAGGACGAGTATGAATAATACTAAACAAAATAGTTAGAAAATAACAACACAGCATAGGCAGTTTTCCCTTGCTGTGCAGTGAGATTTTAAGTGAGTAACATGACTCTTATGTCAGAATAGTACATGTCAAGTTTGAGCTTGTAAATTTAGTTCAATGGACCACAACGAGCAACTTAGAGGCAAGAAATATAATACACCTCCCTTCAAACATCCCACATTAAACACAACGTCCTATAAAATGGCTAAAATGCCAGTTATAAAGCCAATGTTTTGAGAAATACCTTATCATTTTCAAACCAAACGATTGCATGGTTCCGCGAGAGCACTTTACAATCAAATATACAATTATTTGGTGCAGGCCTGCTTTTCGCTACTGAACGTCCAACCTTAGAGGGCTCTGTCAACAACACTTTTCTCTCCTCAAAGGGATGAGAATTTGGTCTAGAGGTAAGAATTGCCATCGCCATTTTTCACTATAACTCATGTTGGACCGATTCAAAACGACGGTCTAGGGGAAGTTGACCTTGAGAACGCATGCGCAGTCAGCCATCACCGGTTAAAAGCACGTGACAAATTACTCTTCCTTAATAGGGGAYCACTGGGGGTACTTTTGKRCAGGTATCAAATCTGGCCTGCWGGTTAAAACAAGCACATGGGAACATCGATTAAAAATTTGATTAAAAATTCGCCAGTACAGTCGTATTCTCATTTTTAAAGAGACATCTCTATATTAATTTTTTAAAATTTTATGAAAATAAGAACAATTCGGTCAAAAAAGGAATTTTTTTTTAATTTTCTTTATGAGGTAGGATTAGGGACTGCGCAATATTTATMAGGAGGCACCGTTGTTTTTTTCAGTTTCTAATTAAAGTTAATTTTTGACGTTGCCCCCCTTTTTGAGCGCATGAAATTAGATTTTGCCAACCCCCATSCCTCTGGGGCCTCTGGATTCCCAACCTCCCACCTCCTGATAAATATTGCGCAGTCCTTTAGTATTTAAAGATATTTTAATCTTTTACAGGTAGGTAAATACAGAAATATATGCAATATATGGATAATAAGTAGGTTAGACTGGAAGCCACTAAAGTGCTTGGACCACTTTTATTAACCATTCAAGTGTTAAAACACTTGAATGGTACAAAAGTGTACATTCAATTGGCTTCCATATCAAAATGGAACCATAATTGCACCATTAGAAAAGTAATGATAGGGAAATGGGAGAAAAATCAAAGAAAAAAAATGAAAAAAGACTGACGTATATGCAACCTCTAAATCCGGAAGAGCTTGCAAAATATAATCCTGCATCACAAGTGACGACAAAAGATTCAAGCCTAACTCATCATGGTTAGTCCGCGTGAACAGACACTTGCACACATCCGTAAACCGTGTCACTTCCGCATACTACAAATTATTGTTTACTTTAAAATAAATAGATTCAGTAAACGGATGCAGCGAAACTCAATTTTCTTGAAGCACATTCAAAAAAAGCCATAACTTTATTTTCACACTGCCTACTCAGTCTCCAATATCGGGATTCTGCTGAATATGAAATTCGTARTTATACCGCCCACAAWTTAACGGGTGCGAATGGTTTACTTTGGAGGTCACATGAGTGTCTACGGCAACCCAAATCAAAGCTTCATCAACTAAAATGTTTTCACTTCATGTAGCGAATCTCGCAGCCAGATATAGACCATATCACAGCTGCACCTGGTGAGAAGGCATCATGATATTAGAAACGTTGTGGACTTAGGACGATAAAAGTGACAAAACCTATCATAAAACGATTCAAAAAGCGTTCAGATAATTTAGCTATCGAGCGCAAATATAATACAGATTTTATCGCTGCATACGATAGTTATATAAAGGGAAAGTAAAGAGTGAGAATATTGAGTCTATATAGACATAGTAAACTGTGGACAACGCCGGCAATGTGCGTCACGGCGATGGCTTCACCCTGACAACAGTAACAACTAGACAAATGTCAATGAAAAAACTCACTTATTYATCTTCTTGATTTATCATTGACTGCTATTTTTATATTTTTGTTGAATAGAAGACGAATATAGTATCATCTCTTTTTCCGAACAAAAAAACATTACCAACAGTTCTTTGCCTTATRCTAGCTGGTACGACTGAACCCCTCAAGTCAACGTCAATATTAAGTCTCTATGTCAACATTGAACTGTAAAGAAAACGAATATATTAGATCTAAAGATGTTTTAGCTAAATAATTTGCATAGATCGCGATCGAGTGTTTGACGCTTACTTGTACACCTGTCTGTATACGGCCGTGCGATAAGACTAGTTTTCCAGTTTTCATCCGAGTAAACATTACTCTGACTATACATGTCTTTAGTGGAGTTCACAAAGGTGTAAAAAAAGCAAGTCTTTTCTAATGAACTCCTCAACCTGGATCTAAAGTGAGTTCGTCTTTGATGTGTAGAAGCTTGCTTCTATAATCCGACATCTTGGATCATTCGGATTCATCGATTTGACAAAGCCGGAATACAAGATTACATATTGATCTAAGATGGGAATTATCCTATAGGCTGTGTATCTTTGTGAGTCAAAGTTATTTTTGTCATAGAAMGATTTGAAATACCACCAAGAACAAGGAAAGGCCTGATTTCTGTACTTTCCATCGTAAGTGCTGCAATTTTATTATTGTCACTTTCCAGAATTAAGCCGGAAAAAAGATTAGATTATTTTAATTCTGGATTCAACTGCGAAAAAAAAATAACTTAAGAGAGACAACATCAGTATGGCAACGAGCGGTAGGAGAGTTGCGCTTTTTTCGCGTTCTGGAAGAAAACTTTCAAAGTCGGAATCAGACAATCAAGATATCACAACTAGAGCAAGAAGCTATTCCCGAGAAGAAATTTCGACGCACCTTGATGCTGGATTACAATCTCTGGAAGTCACCCGAAAGATCTCTAAAAATAACAGTATAAATGAAGCGATATTAGGTCAACCTTGCACTTCAAACAACACTAGTCGTAAAAGAAAGATCACGGTGTATTCAAGACCAGATTTCCTTGATGTCAACACATCTCCTGTGCCAAATAAAAACCCTAACGTGGCTTCAAAAACAGACTGTCCCTGGCAGTGGAAGGACTTTTTTATTCATTATGCTGAAACCTTCATTCTTGGAGCTCTGTTTCTTCTTATTATTACTGTGTCTTTATATATTGTGTTTATCGAGGGTCAGAGTTTAATTGGCAAAGAAAAGTAGATACAATTTAGGCAAGACATTAAGATGATCTCCTGAACAATATAGCAACTCGCGCCGTATAGCTTACAGCCTGAAAGGCGCTCTAAATTATGTGTGATTGCAGTATTCTAAAAGACAATTAATACTTTAACAAAATAGTTACTGCAATTGAGCGATACCTGGAGTGTTTGATAAACGAAACTGCTCATTTTTCCTATATTTCTGTTTAAAAAAGAGCGAGTTTTTCTCGTCAAACGTAGAGGCTGTTTTGTCGTGAGAAAAGTATATTATAGCGCGCGCAAGCGGTGAGACAACTGAGCAGATTGTCAAAAATCTGTTGAAATATAGTTGGACTTAGTAAAACATAAAATAGTCTGATAATAGATCGATTATATATATATAACATCAAATATGTTTGTTTGCAAAAACAATGAATTCATATTATGTCAATAAAAAGCAAAATTACAGCCAGTATACCGCGAAAAAATCGAAATATCAATTGCTAGTGACAAGAGTTTGTTGCCATRCCAATGATTGGCGATGAAAATTAACAAAAAACAATKAYKRMTRWT